ATGTACTGCGAAAGAAAAGGGGTTATAAAAAGTAAGGATTATCCCAACTGAATAATTTTCCCTTCATAATCACTTTAAGAATGGTTTAAGTACTAACTCAACTAGATAGGAAACTTTGTTTGGATCTGATTACTTATGACCCATACTGGGGGAAGAAATCAGTTGGACTGTACCTGGCCTCTTTTCAAAATAATTTCATTCCCAAGTATTCTTCCTGACATAAAATAAATAAGAATTTTTATTAAAAAGAGTCCCAAAATATATTATTGTGAGTAGTGTGGCTTTCTGCTTTTTTTATTTCTGTGGGTATTTCCATGACTTCTACTTATAAAATATCTGTGCACCAATATTATATTTTGCTGAGTGTTTCATCAGAACTAACACTTATGCAATAAATATTTGCTGTCTATGGAAAACATGGCATTTTTCCATCCTTAAACCAAAAGTTGGCCAATGGGCAGCTGTCTTCATCAACTGAAACCCTTAGATCCTGTCATTTTTCTGCACAATATTTTGCTCTTTCTTGCTTAGCTGTTTTGTCATTCCTTTCTTTCATGACTTATGAATTCCTGGCTTTTCTCTCCTCCCACTCATGAAATGGTTTCTAACTTTGTTTTTACAAATTGTATTCTCATCTCCGTCACTCTTCACACTTGTTCCTTTCCTCCTCTTGCTATTACATAATTTGTTGCTTCTCTCCTGAATACCACATCCAGTAGTCTTTAGATGTTAGGGAAACAGATTATGAAGACTGATGTTGAAGGAATGCAGGAGATAGTGAAAAGCTGGGGTTATAATTCTACACAAGTGCCGGCCTGAAATCTCCCTATCAAAAAGAACTGGAAATTTCTGTCAACCTTTTAGCTATAGTTTCCTCCTCACCTGACTTCTGGCAACTACCCTTGTTTTCTGACTCTGAATTTGCTTACTCGACCTATGCCATACCCCTGGAACCATGCAGTTTCTGTCCTTTTGCATTTTCCATTCCTTTGAGTGTACACGCAGAAGTGGAATTCCTGGATCATATGGTAGTTTTATTTTTAATTTTTAAAGAAACTACCATATTTTCCAAAATGGCTTCATTATTTTAATTTCCACCAACAATTCAAAAAGACTCTAATCGCTCCACAATCTTTCCAGCACTTATTTTCTTTCTACTTTGTATAATAATCATCCAAATAGGAATGAAGTTGTAGCACCTCTCATTTCTATGTAACCTATCTTTGCTAAGATGTGTTTTTAAACAAAAAGCTAGGCATATCCAATTTATACTGACTCAATTCCATATTTCATATTTTTCCAAATTCTTTGAATTGTGTATTGCCGTTGCTCTCCTTTTTGTAGTAAAGACTTGTTTCCAAGATGAGACCAGAGACTGAAGAATCTAAATTCTGTAACTGTAGTTGCTAGGGCTTTCCTGTTTCTCTGTGGTAAAAGCCATCCAGCAGGACCTTCCAGGTTGGGCAAACTGCTCTTTTTAGCCTAAGGGCAGCAGGCTACTTCTCCCTGCACTACAATTAACCTGCTTGAACTGACCCTTCTGATTTTTTTTGGTCAGTTTTATTAAGGTATTATTTATACTTGAGTGTAAAATCTGATCAGTTTTGACAAATCTGTAGAGCACCGAAACCACTACTACAATCATGCTATAGAACATTTTGAGAGATTCCTACCTGATCTCTGACAAAAGGAAGTGTAGTATGTATACACTACAGTTAACAGAAGCATAAAGTGTGTTCACGGGTTATAAACACCACTCCCACATCTGTATCCTTGCTTGCATTCTCTTTTTGGTTCCTCTTACTATTGGTAGAAGATTCCCAAGACTCTAAAAGAGAGATAGGAAAGCCCTGGAGAGGAGCTGATGGAACAGGAAAAGAAAAACTGTGTTTATTCTAAGTTAACATATTTAAATAAGAATAATACTAGACTACGATCACATGATGGTTGCATTTTCCTCTGCCTCCAGTAACCCGACTATCTCCCTGTGGTCTGAATAATCTGACTCGCATTAAAGAGTTTTCCCTCCCATAGTGTGCCTTTAGACTTGCAAGTAGGTTAGCTTCCTTGCTAGATTTCTTCTTTTATTTTTGTTTCTTGTTTCAGAGATGCAGCTCTCTGAAATGTGGTTACTCACTTCATCCAGATCAATAACCTATTTTGAAATGTCATTTCTCAATGGAGATACATTTATATTGATTATATCAAATTTACTTAGTTTTGGAGAGTTTGGCTTTTTCCTCAACAAACACATTATGGAGCATTTACTCTGTGCAAGGTATTTATTCTTCAAGCGTTTCATTTAGATTCTGCAAACCCTTTACTATGCATAGGGCAATACTTTGTTTTATTTTGCTTAGGATTCAACCATCAACTAAGTTCTTTTCCTCTCCCTGCATTATCTCTGATGGCTTTTTCCTATAGTCACCTCACAGCTGTATGTACCATTTGTTCATAGTCCCCCTCTACTCGAGTAACATTGTATTCTGCAGTTCAAGCCCTGCTTGGGTTTTGTCAGATCTTTCCCCAGCTTTACTCTGAGCACATGTTATGGTTTAGAAGTCTCACTTGCTTGGAGGTGGGGCCTGGTCAGAGGGGGTGAGTCACTAGGGTGAAACCTATATTCTTGTTCCCAGCTCATCCTCTTCCCTTCTCTGTTTCCAAGCCACCAGGGAGCAAATAGCTTTTCTCCACTATGCCCATCTGCCGTGCTATTTCTCCCTTGCCGCCAGCTGACCACAGTGAATCCATGAAAATTGTGAGACAAAATAAACCTCTTCTCCTTTAGGTTGCAGGTGTCAGGAAAATAACCAATATAATATTCTTTTAGCCTTCCTATATATTTCAGTTTTGCTTTAATTGTTTTCATAAGAGCTCCTTTACATTACCCAGATCGCATAAAGTATTCTGTCTTAACCCTCTCAATTTACACACAACTCAATTCCATCCTGACACTTTGAAGCGTCAATGCTGGAAACTAATTCTAACACTAAAAGAATGTTTTATATATGAAGTCCATTTTAATAGTTGGGTATACAATATCCAAACTCCCCTAAAATCTGAATAGCGTTTTTCCTTGTGTCCAGTAGTAGACACTAGTAGAATTTTAGAACTCAAAAAAAAAAAAAGAATGGAAATAAGAAAAGAAACAATAGATAAGTTGAATATCAAAATTTAAAATTTCTATGCTTCAAAGCTATTACTGAGAAAATGAGAAGACATTCTACACAATGGAAGTAAATATTTGCAATGGCCTAGTATCCATAGTATATGAAGAATTCTTACAACTGCACAACGAAAAGGCTCACTACCCAATATAAAAATAGGCAAAAGAATTGAATAGATGTTTCACCAAAGAAGATACGTAAATGACCAAGAAGCATCTGAAAAGATGTTTAACATCATTAGTCCTCAGGAAAATGCAATGCAAAGCCACAATGAGATCCTACTTTATAACAACTTGGATGGCTATAAAAATAATTTTAAAGTTTTTTTTAAATTATTTTTTCTAGTACTGTAGATCAAACCTAGGGCGTCTTGTATGGTAGGCAAGTGCTCTGTCACTGAGCTGCACACCAGCCCATTAATATTTTTTTAAATATAAAATGGCAAGTGTTCATAAAGATGTGGAGAAACAATTAGAAGCCTCGTATGTTGCAAGTGGGAAGGCATAGTGGTGCAACTACCGTGGAAAGCAGTTCAATAGTAGTTTCTCAGTCAGCTAAGTACAGTTAACCATACAACCCCACAGTTCTATTCCTAGGAACATACTGAACACAACTGAACAGAAACTTGTACAGGAATGTTTACAGAAGCAATGTGTATCGTAGCCAAAAAGGGGGTGGAATTTAAATATTTATCAACAGATGAATGGACAAACCAAACGTGATATATTGCTACCACTGTATATTATTTAGCCATAAAATATATGTGCTTAATATTATGATAACCAAAAGAAGTAGAACACATGGACTGTGTACTGTGTCGTTCCATTTTATATGAAATATCCAGCATAGAGAAATCTCTGTGTATGGAAAGCAAAGTAGTGATTGCTAGAGGCCTGGGAGAGAGAGAAGTAAGAAAGGTGGTATAATGGGCATGGGCTTTTCTGCTGGGGTGATGAAAATTTTTGAAACTGGGTGCCAATGACGAATGTACTAAACATTGTGCATGTATTAAATGCTATACACTTTAAAATAGTAATAATGCTAAATTCTATGTTAAATGGCTTTTACCTCGATTTAAAAAAAACCTTATGGATAAATACATTGTTCACTGTCAATGTGTCAGGCATAGTGCATATGAAGTTGATTAAGGTACTACTTTTTTCTCTCTCTGGACTTTGAGCTTCTCAAGAGACTGACAAGAAAAATGATACAGAAGGAAGTCATGTTCTCTAATACACAGGCTGATAGCAAACCAACCCCACCTAAGATGATAGCGGCGAAGAAGATACAAGGCTTTCTAAGTAAAGCAATTTAGCAAGAGTTGTGGAAGATGGACTGATTGATGGGTTAATCAAATATTTTGAATACCTCTTTTGTGCCAGGCACTGGCATAGGCCAGGAATTCAATGATGGACAAAAACAGAGTATCCATTCCTCATGAAACTTGCTTCTGGGATCAAGATAGGCATTAATCGAGTTATTAACCAACTACAGACTGAGGCGAATATTATGAAGAAAAGTAACCTTCTTAAAAAGCACAAAATAATCTTCACCTGTACCAGGGATCAGGAAAGGCTTCCTTCTGAGAGCTTCCTTCCTTCTTGAGCTGAGGTGTATAGAATGGGCAGAAAATATGGGTAAACAGTCTATGAAGACAGACTAGCATGTGCAGAGCCTGTGGTAGGAGGAAATATGACATTCAAGGGTGTGAAATAAAAGGTTATTATTGTTTGAGCAAACTTTGCAAAGAGAAAATGAGACCAGAGAGACAAGGAAGGGCTGGTATGTGCTCCTATATAGATCCTGCTAAGGTTTCTGTTCTTTATTTTATAGGTGATGATTACCTTCATCTTGGCACTCAAGACTGGACAGGATGGGGAAGAGTGGGTATGGAGCAGAACGGAGGCTAGTTAGGAAACTATTGTATCATCAAGGGAATAAAGGTGCTTGAAAGATAACGACACAGAGAGAGAAGAATTGGAGGAGAAATACAGAACGGGAGTGGGATTATGAAAGAAAAGAAGACTAACCCAGACAGACCTCTACCATGCACAGGGTGAATTTGGATCTGATCTTGGTAGACATGGGAAACTGCCAGGTAACTTAAGAAGAGAAATATGGCTACCTGATTCAGGATTTACAAAAATCATTCCAGGAGTGGCAGAGAATGGATTTAGGGAGAATAAAGGGAGGATACTCTTGAACACAAACAAGGAAACTGACTAATGTTTTGCTGTCACTGTTCAACATGGGAGCTAATAAGGATCCGGGCCACGTTGTGCCATGAAGATTGGGGAATGGGACGCATTTGAGGGCATTTCCAAGAAAGGATCAAGAAGAATCTCAACTGTCATGATTTGTGGATCCCATCATGCATGTACAACATCACTATCTTTTTCCCTACTGCCTGGTGAGTCCTTGCTAGTTTAATGGCTATGGCACTAAACAAATGAAAAGATACCATTGGAACAGAGCACTGACATTTTGCTTTCCGAAATGCCCTCCCATTTTCATATGATGTCACTTGCCCAAGCCTGGTACCAATTTGTGTTTTAGTCTCTATTTTATGCCCTACTCCTACTGCCGCATTTGCCTGGAAGAAGGGGCTTAATAAATATGGGAATAAATTAGTATATATATATTCAAGGATTATTTCTCATTGCATCTGCCATACTATTTACATTAAGGAGAAAATATACATGCATTAGAGAATTATGGAACTCTGAACACACTGCTGCCAAACTTGCTGACGTCTCAGCTACCTTTTAAGACAAAACGCTGCCCCGTTCTGCTCACGCTATATGAGAATCTGTCATCTCTATCACCGACATATGGTAGTTTTGACTAGTGTTCCTTTGTCAGACCTGCTGTCTGTGTACAGTGGGTAAACTAATATGCGATCTATGTAAGTTAAAAAAATTATCTCAGGCTCAAAATACCTAGGAAAAAAACTGTCACACCAATATCCAAGTTAAATGGACACAAATGTTCCCTTGAACTTATTTTTCAAGTTGTGTCATCTTCAAGAATTCCATTAAAAAATGAAAGATTCCTTTTTTTCTCCCAATGTACCTAAATTGTCTGAAATGAATTCTGTTACTCAGACTTCTTTTCTTCAATGATATAAACAGATGCCATTGGAAAATCTGGTTTGGAGGCTTCTTGTTCAGAAATATTTAGTCTCAGAAAACTTTAGTTAAGAATTTAATTTCTGAGAAGCAAGTCTTTAAACATATTGAGAATGGGAAAAAAAAACCCATTTAGACTAGAAAATCAGAGATTAGAAATTTACCTTACCAGTGTTTAAAGCTTATCAATGGTTTTAAGAAGGAACAATTTGATAAAATTTCTGAAAGGAATTAGGAAAAAAGACGAAAGTTTATTTGAACAATAGCCTCTAAATATGTGTATAAAATTTATACATACATTTCTTGGCAGGTTTCCTCTGTTCATTAAGATGCAAAAGTATAGAAGATATGTCATTTTTAAAAATAATTAATTTGTACAATCCAAGAGACACATCCTAACCTCCTTTCATGGAAAAAGCTGGAAGACTTGTGTGCTTGTCACTTCTTTCCACGACCAAAGTTTTCCTTGAAACAAACTGGCCATTCTCTTGATGATTTACAGGTAGAAATGAGAGAGTACGGTAGGGGTAAATCGCAAGAGGGGATTGAGAAGAGAGAACAAAGTTCAGGTAACACACAGGGGAGCACAGAATATTGTAGGAATGGAATTCTCCACCTATATCTGCAAGTCCACCCTATACTTCTGTGCCTTGCTGTGTCTGAAGGAAGTGACCTTCTTGGGCTGCTTTAGCCTCCAACTTAGTGTGCTTTCTTCCAGTTGCTACAAGTAGGAATTCAGCCACATGCAGTAACTCTGGAAGACGTAGGACAGTGAAGGTAAAGTGTCTCTATCTGTTTTCCTGGTAGAACGTCTGTTTGGCAGCATGCCTCTACCTCAGGCCATAGTTTTGCCGGCATGTGCGTGCAATCTTCTGATGTGATCTTCTGATCTTCTGTGGCTACTTTTCCTTTGTTGGGACCTGCACCTTCCCTTCACCCCTCAGGCCTACAAGTACCAATGGTTCCCCATTATTGTTAGCCTCGTTTGTGCTTGAACACACTGCTGACTTCCTTGAACCTGGCCCAGACCTTTGTAAATGTCTCTTCGTTTATAAACCTCAAAACTCTTTGGGATGGCTCATCTGTTTTTTCCTTAGAGCCCTGACTGATAGAATTGTCTTCTAGTGTAAATGGAACCCTAAGCTACTAAGTCCTCACAAAGAGATTGTGGAAAATCCCAAGGAGATAGGACAATGCTTTTTACTGACCTCTTTCTTTGGCCTTAGTAATGAAAAAAACTGGTGCTTAAATGTAATCTATGTTTAATTATTGATGGGATAATGTTACCTTCATTAGCACTCTCTCTTCTCTGGTCAGTCTAGCTCCTCAATTAATTATAAACAAAATAATGAAACTGCTTTATGAGTTAAGTTTTGAATATGGCAAGTTTGAGGTTTCTGGAAGGTAGCTCAGTGGCAATACTTTCTAACGGTTCCAAAATGAGACTCTTTGCCTCTGAGGGCAGTGAGTTGTATATCACATGAGGTGTCCAAGCTGGAAAAACAATGGGTGCTGATTTTAAGGGTGTTTTTCAAGGTCTACTCTTATGATTCTAAGCTTTATATTCTATCTCCATAATACTTATTATGAAAGTGATGACTGTTCAGTTGGATATTCTATCAAAATGTGACACAAAAATATACACATAGACTTTCAGCATTCAGTCTTAAGGAACATTCCACCTTTAATAGGACATGGATGGAACCCTGGTCTTGGAACAGGTAAACCTCTGATTCACTCCCAGTTCTCAATGAAAACCTATGTGCCAGTGATAGTTACTCAATATTTCCATGTCTCGGTTTTCTCAAAGTTCAATAGTGGGCACTCAGTGTGACAAAAATGCTTTTCATGTTCGGCATTAAGCTATACTTCTTGCCACATCAATCTATGGTGCAAAGGTCAGTAAGAAAGCATTCAGGGATTATTTTTAAATTTAAACACCACAAACTAATGATGACCACATCTACTGTAGCAGATCATAGCTTCACATGACATGGTAAGTACACTGAGTCACAGGGTCTTCCTTAAGAAAACCGATATTTACATATTTTTATAACCAAATTCTCCTTCTACAGTGTTATCTGTCTTCTAACCATTTTGCACCCGGAGCATCAAAACAATGAGAGAAGCCAGAGACTACTGTGATCTCCACTTATAAAGGGAGGGATGTATAAAGGGCAGAAAACTTTAGTTACCATCTTGTGTCAATTTCCATTGACTCATACAGAACTCTGATCAGGGAAAAATGATTTAAAAAGTTTAAAATCAGATTACACATAGACACACTACCTGAGGTAAGCCAAATCATCTCTAAGTACAATTCTAAATTAATAGAGCAGGAGAACCCCCTCACCCTCCGAGCTGGGGTAATCAGAGAGTTAGAGAAGCATCCGGCCTTGGTTCGGAGGACAGGTTCAGGAAAATTGACCAAATCCCAGCTCCTTCTCATCCAAGTGTGTCATTCTGAACAAGCTCTTGAGGCATTTGATGCTTCAGTTTCCTCAACTGCAACATGGAATTTATGAGAGAACTTCCAGTTGTGAGGTTGCAGTGAGATGAGCTAATTCAAGAGCCTAGCACAGCCCCTTCTGCAGAGTGTCGAATATACTGAGCTCTTTTTATTACAAGACAACTCAACAGAATCCCAGTAGGGAACTAATTTGCCCGGAGACACAGAGTTGGCTAGTGACAAAGAAGAGAATAAAGCCCCATTTCTGTCCAGTGTGTTTTTGTTATAAATGAAGCACAGCTTAATTAGGTTTGGAACTATGGGTGATAGGAGTATCAGCTAAACGGGAGGATGAGGGCTAGAGGATGTGCTGTCTGCAATCTACTGATGCTCTTTTTCCAGGAAGTAGGCACATCACAACAGTCTATGCAGAAAATACATCAAATTCCTCTAGAATGTTCTTGTCCTCCTCCTGTGTGTGAAACTGCTTCACATTCAGACACCTTATAAAATGGTTCACTTGGGATTTGAGCGACCAAATCCCTTCAGGTAGGTATAAAAAAAGCACATGCTTACAATTCTGACTGTAACTGTGACCAGTTCCATAGTGAGGAGGCCCCAGTGAAGCCGGTTCTGGCAGGATGAATGCAGAGGTGGTCATTACAGAGCCAGAGGAAAGCCCACCGCCATCTACCGCTGAGCTGGCCTGTGCCTTGTTGCACACTCTCAGCTATTCTGCTTCAGTGGGGACTTCTCATCTTAGCATCTATCCAGAAAAATCTTCTGGTTGCCTATTATAAGCAGGAGCACAGGGCACCTGCCACCATTTACCATGATGATTTTGACTAATGGGACAGGTTTTATCACAATGCCTTAAGGCTGAATAGATTTGGGTCACCAAAATGTAAATAATAGTGAAACTTTAACTAAGACTGAGCTTAAAAATTATCCTTCAGCCTTTTCCTTTTTAGATCTCTGCAGTAGAAGTATTTAGTGTTCTTTGTCTTCTGAAGTCATCTCACATCGGCTCTAGTAAATTCCAGGGAAAACAAGTTGACCCAAAATCTTTATCAGGCTCCTGCAGTTCCATCTTCCTGATTTTTCTTGGAACAGAAGTAGAGTCTCCCTGGGCTTAGAAACTGCTTTTCTGGTTAATGAGGACAGCACAGTTTTATTTCTAATTATGGTAGTCCCTTTTATAATGTCATGTTTCTGGAAGACTGGAAAGTTTGCATCTTTAAACGCCAAGCCAGCAAAACAGTTGGAGCATAGATTAAACCCTGAGTAATTAAAATGTTTTATTTAATTCTTTAAGAGTAGGAGAGCGACTTTGATGCACACCCAGAGAATGAGTTGAGAGAATGGCAGGTTTTTGAGTTTGTACATTAAAACATATCATGAAGAGAACTAAGGAGATAGTGTTCTCCATTCTACCAACAGGAGAAGTTTATTTAACCTTCTTGTTCTCAAAGAATAAGGTGATATCTTCCTATTTCTGTTTTTATAACATCTTGCTTAGATTAGATATCTGGATATTTGTGAATTAATATGGCATTGATGTGTACTTTCCAAAGTATATTATTGAGGAACTCTACTGACTTTTGAATCCTTTAAGGGGAGCTTCTGAATCTTTGACTTGCATCCCTCTAGTTGGTTCCTCTCTGTTTTGATTTTAATGTAGTTACTTAACTTTACCCTTATAACCAGAAGGAGTTTGTTAACCACATTTTCCCATTGGGAAACATGAGGAGTAATACCAGCCATATCATGATGATGATAAAAGATACATGGTGCTCTCCCCTTACCTTGGGTGGCCATCCCCGGCAATTCAGGCAAGATTTACTTTAAAAAAGAGGCCAGCATGGAGTTGCAGAATCTGGCTTGAAGCTCAGCATTGCCACATGTGTTAACTCTGAATCTCAGACCCCACAAATGTGAAACGGGACATT